AAAAAAAAAAAAAAAAAAAACTAAGGTGTCTACTAATTTTTCTCTTTGTACTATCACCTTGCATACACTGTCTCCACTATAAGATGCTTTTTCAACTACTTTATAGGAATCAAATAAGAATGCCTAAGGGACCTTCCCACCTGTCACTAAGGAAGCCTGTCAGCTAGCTGGGCATTACTGAATCCATACACGCTTTTTTCTCCATTTTTTGAAGTACACATTTGTTTAATACAGATCTTTGTAAGGCCCACGAGCTATACTGCGAATTGGAAAACCAGCAAGTGCACTTGTCACTGCAGTTCAGGCAGATTAAAATGAATATGGGTTTGAAGAGTTGCTCAAACAGTCTGGAGAGTGGGCATCAATGGGCAATGAAGAGCCACTTGGCTACACACCAGTGAGAGGCAGTGTGGGCAGGGTGGTTAAAGCAGTGCATCCCCCAGCAAGCTTTTTAGTGCCCCAACTAAGGCGCCAGTGAAATGCGGACACTCACAGACTATGCCTTTTTTGTTCCAGCAAGGCCAAAGTTGAGTTGCCGGGCCTCTTGACCTTCAGTTAAACCTGCAAGGAAAGACAGGACTACACTAAATTCTTTACAACCCTGCCCACCTGTGCCCAAACCCACAATTATTTCTAAACTTACTGAAAATACTGTGGCATCCACTTCTCAAAGATGCCTCACCATTACCCACCCTCTTAGGGACCAGAGTGCCAGCAAGCAGACTGCACACCACATGCTCTGCACCACAGCAGCTTTTCTGCATCAAAGTGAATTTCCTGAGGTCTGAACCAGCGGTGACAAACTGACAGCAGGCATGCCACAGCTGTATCACTGAAAGGGTTTCCATCACTAGACTATGGGTTTCCATCCTGGGTGGGCATCAAAAACACCTGCAGACCTTTACGCAGACAGAAAGGCAGACCTCGGAGCTCTGACTCAGTGGATCTGGGGTGGATGATGGACATCTGTGCTTGTTAAAGAGCTCCACAGGTGACTCTGACATGCAGCCAGACACATGAGTCTCTGATCCATCTACACCCACATTTTTAATAAACATCCATGTTCACATCACAACCAGGGATCGCACCAACTCTCTCCCCTATCAACTGCTCTTACATGTGCAATGCACAAGCAAATCACCCCAAATTCCCCATGATTTCCACCAGAAATGCACATCCTCCACCAGACTCCAGCTAAACCCTCAACTACTCCAGTGAACTCCAGCTAAACCCTGGACTCTGATGGAAATCCTCCAGTTCCCCCAGTCAGCTCTCTCTTCCCATTTCCCATAATGGCCATTTCAGGTCTTCCCTTTCCCATTTTCTCTCCTTCTTATCTATACCTCCCTGATACTTCCTTTGCAGGGGTGGCTTCACTCCTTATTTCACTGAAAGCATCAGGGAAAAGGCCACAACCCAGCTCCTCTCCTCCTCTCCTCCCTCTACCTGGGCTACAGGTGCAGCTGGACATCCTGTCTACCTCCGCACTGCATCCTGTGTGCTCTTTGGGAGTCTCAGTCCAGCAGTGATCCTTCCCCTTCCTCCTGGCTTATCAACTCTTCTTCTGATAGGCTCCTTCTAATTACAGTGCTTAGGTCTCTCTTATCAAGGGTTTTGGAAATCAGTATGGAGACTCTTCAAGAAACAAGAAACAGAAATTTTATTTGACCCACCTATACCTCTCCTAAGTATATTCCCAAAAGACTTATACTATAGTGATACACCATGCGTCTAGCAGCACAATTCACAATAGCTGAGCTCTAGAAACAGCCTACATGCCTCTAAGAATGGCTGAAGAAAATGTGGCATATACACACAATGAAATGTTATTCCACCAGAAAGAAAAATTCATGTCATTTACAGGAAAATGGAGAGGCTTGTGACCATAATGTTAAGTGAAAAAAAAGAAGACTCAGAAAGTAAAATATCACACGGTTTCTCTTATATGAGAAACCCAATTATAAGTAAAGGAGTAAAACAAAGACAGACTTTTTGAAGATGGGGAAGGTGTCAGGGAAGGGAGAGTAGGAAGAGGACTGTCCTCCCATGACCATCAAATGTCTCCTCCAGTCATCACCAGATGTCCGCTGGTGGGCAAAATCACCCCCCAAATGAGAACCATTGCTCCAAAACTTTCCCCTCAATAGGGACCGATGAATTAATTTTCTGAAATGCTAATTAGATTCATCATTTGCTTGCTTAAAGTTCTGCAAGGCATGCTGGCACACGTCCACAAACCCAGCACACAGGAGGCCAAGGCAGAAGGATTATGAGTTTCAAGCCAGCTTGAGCTACAAAGTGAGTCCAAGGTAAGCGGAGACTACAGAGTAAGAGGCTGTCTCAAAGCAAGCAAGCAAACAAACTACAAATCCAAGTCACTTATCTCAGTTTGCAAAGGCCCACATCACTGGCGCCTGCTAACTCTCTGACTTCCACTCTGGATCAGTTCAACTCAACTGCAGAAAATGACACCACCACCCTGTGGTGCGACTACAAACCCCTCCATGCCCTGCTTCCCAACCACCTTTCTAGCCTCCTTGTTCATTTCAAGTTTCTGTGCATTTGAAATTCCAATTTCTGGGTCCCTCCATGTTTCCAAATTTTGGCCCCAGTGCTCCCAGTCCTCAGAGGCCTTTTCTTCAACCTCCTGTGTCTGGCTGAAATGACACCTGCCTTCAGAAGCGCTTCTTCGTGTCCCGGCCAGGACACACACCCTACTGCAGCGGGTGAGGGCAGGTAGATCCCCTCCCTTAGGGATGTGCTGGTCACATTGACATTCCTGGTGGCAGTGGTCTGGCTCCTAGTCTGACCTACACTCCTGCCCACCATCATACCTCAGGTGCCCAGAAGAGTGCCTGTCAAGAAGCAGGTGGAAGGAGGGGAGGAAGGCAGGCCTGTGGAATGTGACCTGACTTGCAATGGAATCACGCGGGACTGCCTGCCTTCCTGAGTGGGGAGTCACAACTCACGGCAGGGACTTCAGCTACCCCAGTTCTTGGGCAGATGTCAGGCTGTCCTTACGTGAGATGTGGCATTCTGCACGGTCGAGGCGGGTGGCAGATTCATTTACCACCACAGATTCCCACAGGCCAAAGTTACACAAAACTGGGAAGGGCATCACCAGAGCAGAATCACTCCCAATGAGATATTTAGTATAAAATGTTTTAGGATCCTGTGCTACATCCTTACCATTACATTTTTACTGAGAATTCAAACTGGGAAGGGAATTTCACTTTAGAGTCCTGATTAAAAATAAGAAATTAGAGCTGAGAATGTAACTCAGCAGTAGAGCTTTTGCCTGGCCTTGAGTTTACTTGCCAGTACCTCAAAAGCAAACAATGTCAGTTACAGTGAGGCACACCTGTAACCCGAAACTTGGCAGGCTAAGGCAGGAGGAGGCCCGCAAGTCCAAGGCCATTCTAAGCAATTTATTGAGAATTCATAAAAAAAAGAAAAGAAAAAAGGGGACGGGAATATAGCTCAGCATTGCCTGGGTACAATTTGGAGTACGTCACACACAAAAAAAAGGAATTACACTTTTATCAACTCATTTTATAAAAATACATTTTCACTAAGAAAATCAAATCAAATCAAAGTGGACAGAAGAGAATTCTAGATTCCTCTGTAAGAGAGTCATCCAAACAAGACTGAATAAAACCTTCTACACCCAGTTATTGTAAAAAAAAAAGTGACTTGGTTTAGTCTAAAGACACAAGATAATAAAAAACACATGCTGAAAGCTCCTTACTTTACTATCCAGTATTATGAGACTAATGTCTAGAATATACTAAAGTCATATTAGCTAGTCAAAACCATGAAAGAACCCCATGAATCATTAAAAAATAAAAATTTAGCCTAATTCTCAATATATGAAAAGGATATGAGTTACTGTCTGAGATTTACTTTAAAATACTTTAGCATCAACAGTAATAAAAAAGGGAGGAGGGGGTGAAGGGAGGGCAGGGGTAAGGGGAAAAAATGAGAATCAAGACTTGTCATGTAGAGGTACAAGATCCCAATGAATGTAACTGTACCGTATCCCTAAAATGTACCAATAAATTCAATTAAAGCTGAAAAAAAAAACAGTAATAAAAAAGAAAACAGGTTATGTGTGGTAAATCTTGATAAATGCTAAATCACGATCAGCATACGGTACTCATTAGACTCTACTTGTGTCTATTTGAAATTTTTCCAAATAAAAAATTAAGTCAGATTATAATAAAATTAGAAATAAAAATCTCATCTATAAAAATTTAAAATATCAAGTAAATAAGGATCAAAATATATAATTGATATTGTGTAATAGGAAAAAAAGTCTAAAGGTGTAGGGGAAGTGGGAAAGGTAGAAGAAAGGTAAGAAGAGAAAAGGAAAAAAATGGAAACAAAGTTTTTATAAATAGGGAAAGGTGGAGGGGGGTGAAGGGAGGTCAGGGAATGGGGAAGAATAAGAACCTAGATATGTCATGTAAAGGTACAAGATCCCAATGATGAATGTAACTGTACTGTATACCTAAAATGTACCAATAAAAAAATTAAAAATATCTGAGTCGTTTTAAGTAATATCTGTTATAAAAATATAGCACAATAGGTGAATTTGAATAATACCTTTATATTTTCTATAATGTTTATTTCTAGGTTAAGTACACACTGAGAAATCTAGTGAGTCATTTCCAACCTAAATCAAATAGTGAATTCAGATTTTACAACATAAAACTTTAAGGTTAGCAGAATATTTGGAGGTACATGTTTTTAAAAACAAAACAAGCCAATGGCTATAGGCAAGACAGTGCAATTGTTTCAAAAAGAAATCCAACAGTGTTTCCAGAGATTTCTGGAAGTCAAAGTAAAAGGCTGAGTCAAACAGAGTCCCACTGACAAAGGTGCGGAGATTTGATCACTTCAGCCAGGACACTCTGCTCTCAATCCTGGAAGGACAGAATGCTTCTTACATGACATAGTCTGGATTTACCTACACATCTGCTCCCTGCCACTCCCTGAGAATGCTGGGGAAGGGAGTGGAGAGAGAGCTCAAGAGATGGCAAGAAAAAACAAGTTTATACCCCTGAAAACTAGTACAAAAACATCTGTGCTCAACCATCTCCAGACTATAAAAGTCTTAGGGAGGACAGCAGAAGGTTCAGACTAGAAAAATCTTACCTGCAGAAGAACTCCCATAAATCTAAGTTTTGAATTCTCTGAATTCTTTTGATTCGGTTGCGATCCATTGTTTTCCCAAAAAGACTGGCAACTTCATTATATTCATGTGTTTGACTGTGCAGAGAAACAAGCTGCAAAGAGAAGTTCACATGGTTTACTGGGGGTCCACCCCACCGATTTCTCCACAGGACAGAGGTCAGTTTAGCTCTCACCTGATAGGGCACTTCAGGGTTCACATCCTCCCAGTGTGGTGGCACAGGTATAGCTTCATTTTCACAGATATAACTTCAAATAGCAAAGACAGAACACGGTATCAGAAGCTGATTATCATTATTGCTGGTTAGTTAGCTTTTTGCCAAAGCTGAATTTTCATGCTTAGGGTATCATGACAAATGCAGCCAAATACAGTTTGTGGTTTTTTTTGTTTAAAAATATTTATTGAATGTCTCTTGTGTGCCTCTTGTTAGGTGCTGAATTGTGAATTTTGATGGAAATATACAACCATACATTTACCATCAAATCTCAAAAATAGCCTGGAATGGAGGCATACACCTTTGATCCTAGCACTGTAGAAGGCCAAGGTGGGAAGACTGCAATTTCAAGGCCAGCCTAGGCAATTTAGCAGACCCTAATTCAAAATAAAAAAAATAAAAGCTGGGGAGGTAGCTCAATGAGAAAGCCCTAGTTTCAATCCCCCATATCTCAAAAAAAAATAAATAAATAAATAAAAAGTTAATGGAAGAGATGAAGAAATCACAACCCTATATAATATTTAGCTTATTTGTTTTTCAAACTCACTTTAATTTTTGAAAAAATAAAGTAATGTAGAGCAACAGGAAGCAGAGGAGTCAGCACATCTCTCTGCCAGGCTCCTCCTGACTCTCTGGGTTCCATCAGGAACAGTTTCTTTGGCTGCAGCAAAGACTCTCCAATGAGGAAAGAGGAATAAAATGGAGAAAGTAGTGCTTTGTAAAGAAATTTCCAGAAACACCTGGGCACCAAAGCAGAGAAATGAAAATCAAGAACCAAGGACAGGCCAATTCACTCAAACATACAGTGATCAGGAAATCAGAGCTTTCTTCAAGCATAGGGATTTCTGGAATGTGATGTACAGGTCTGAGTGAAGAATAATCAGCACTGTCACAAGCAGTCACCTGGCATTTCCACCAGAAGAGCTGGACAAAGTGACTGTGCTTGCTGCTAAGTCTACTGGACTATTAGTGAGGCCAAGGAGAGAACAGGAGCCAAAATTTACAATGTCCTCACAGAAAGGTCCTGCACACGATCCTGGGATGCAGATGGAAGGACAGGGGTCGCTCATGTCTCTCTGGGAAGACGCTGTTGATCCGCTTGCAGAGATTCAGCCCCAGAGCTGTGGCGTGCCAGCTCCAAGGGACAGCCCTGTGTGCCACTCCTGCGATCTTCAGGAGGACCCTGGAACATGAACCCTTCCTGGACAACTCCACACCCACTTCCTGCCTCTCTCCCAGCAGCCTCCATCCCCAGCAGCAGTGGTGATCCTATTCTGACTCTGATCCACATCCTCAATAATGAGAATCAGAAACCCCACCTCATTCTGCCTGAAGACAATGGAATGGTGCAATTCTGGAACTGAGGATGCCTTCCTTTCCCCAGCCAAAGTAGTGAGAATAAAATATGAAGTTCAAAATAATGTAAATATGATAAAAAATTAATAAGTAGAAGCCCAGCATGGTGGCTTATTTCTGCAATCTCAGCTGCTCAGGACACTAAGGCAGGATGACTCCAAGTCACAGGCCAGTCTGGGCAACTTAGTGAGACCCCATCTTAAAAAAAAGCAGGGGTCTGAGGAAGTATAGTTGAGTGGTAGAGCACTTGCCTAGCACGAGTGAGACCCTGGGTTCAATCCCGAGCACCACACAAAAGAAGAAGGAGAATACATATAAAGCAATATACAGAGAAGTTTTCCTCACACCCGAGTCCTTGTTCTGCTCAGTCCTCACTTCCTGCCCCAACTCCAGGTAATCACTGTTTTGTCTCTTGGATATTGTTTCAGAACCCTGGGTTAATAAAAGCCAAGTTCTTGCCCACACAAACAGGAGCATGAAGCATTCATTTTTTGAACCATTCTTTTTCACTTTAGGTATTCTTATCAAGATCTTTCAACTCAGTACAAAGAGAGCACCCTCATTCCCAAAGTCAACAAGAGAGCCTGGTACACAGCAAACATTCAACAAATACTGGCTGAACAGATAAATGCACTCCATTTCATAGATGCAAAGAACTCCACTGTATGGATTTGCCATGAGTCATTTAACCAGACCCCTACCAATGACACTTGTCTTCAATGCTCTGCTACTATATTAACAACATTACAAAGACAAGTTTGTCCATCTGTCATTTTAGATGTCCACTAGTATACCTGTCGAACAGCATCTTTGAAATGAAATTTCTGTATGAAGGTGTATATTTATTCATGGTTTTGACAAATACTGCCCAAATGCCATCTTTGAAGGTAATAATTAATGTTCCCACAACAAATGTTGAGAATGCCTATTTTCCAACAACCTCTCCCAAAAGATATTATTAAACTTCTGAATTTTTGTCAGTTTGATGATGAAAATCTGATATTAATTAATGTGTTTCTTTTATTATGAATGTGCTTGTATGAACATTCACATTCCTTGTCTATCTTGGTCTTAGAAAATCTAGAAGAGCTCAAATACTATAGGAATTGTCCCTTCAACTATAATGAATTAAAATTTTTCCTAATGTTTTCCCACTTTGCTAAGGTTATCTTTTAGCTATTAAAAAAAAATCTTAAAAAATATTTATGTAGCAGCCAGCATGGTAGTGAATGCCCATCTGGAGGCTGAGGCTGGAGGATCAAAAGCTCTATTCCTGTCTGTACAACTTGGCAGGACCTTGCCTCAAAATCTAAAAAACTAAAATACAAAGAGCTGGGATATAGGTTAGCATGAAGTTTACTGTTAAATTCTCAGCACCATACAAAAAAAAACAAATTCCACAGTCCACAGCCTTGACTTGCTGTTTCCTGACAGGAGCATGTACTGTTTGCCTGGCTAGTGATAAACACTCATTACTTCCCTGCAATAAACCCACATCTCTGCGTCAGCACCCACTGACCTCCATCATTTCAGTATTCCTACTAGTCCTCTCCTTTTATTGTTTTCTTGCTTGCTGCCCTCCATTCTGTTTAATTTTCTCCCTCTCCTATTCTGTTCTATGATTTGTACATTCTAGGAGAGAAAAGTTTGCTTGAGCCCCACCAAAGGGTCAGCAGATATAACAACACACAATTACAGGAACATTTGTCATCATTATGTTTCACTGTCGCCAGAATATACATTCTCTGAAGATACATAATTCCTTTATTATATTCCTGGTATAAAGAGCTATTAAAATATTCTGTATTGTCTGTAGAAATATTAGGGCTTTAATTACATAAGTACTTAAACATACTTTACTTTTTTTGGTAGCAGGAATCAAACTCAAAGACCTGCCAGCTTGCCATGTAGGCTCTATGCCACTGAGCTACATCCCAATTTTGATACTAAAACACAAGCCAAAAATCTTGAGAAATAACTGATACAAACTTAAAGTATTTAGTTCTTTACTCTAATTCTTTTGCAGTTTTTCTTTTGCTCTAATGCTTGCAAAAAACTCCTTGGAAGGAGTAAAAGGGCCCTGACCACAATTCACATGCTATTTTTTTAAGTTTCATTTTAAAACTATTGAAAAGAAGGAATTTTAGTATTTGACTGCAGAATCATTCCAGCAAACTGGAGACATGCTGTAAGACTTTTCCTTTCAACTCCATTCCTATGAATAACACTTATTGTCTTCTGGCTTCTACATGCCTTTTTTCAGACCACAACTGTCCAGAAAGAGCAAGGAGGACCCCGGAACAGAGAACTGTCCTATCACCCCATGTGCAGCCATCTCCCTCAGGCTGCCTTTTGTCCCCACAGACTGGAAATTTATTCCTTGTAGTCTAGCCCGGGGATCAGTGGAGGTGCAGACAAAGTGAGCCATCATGTAGGATTTACGGCCCAAATGATTAGGTGACCTGTGAGTATTTCCAGTTGAAATTCAAACTTACATTGCTTCTCGGCCTTTTGGCTAAGATCAAGTGAAATTCAAACTTACCTCAGTGGTTTATGTTTACAGAGAGATTACGAGGCATCTTGTAATTGCCATGCACACTGTTCTAAAGAATTGAGAAATATAAAAATACAAGAAAAGGGGGGGGGAAATAGTAGGAAAGGAAATAATAGAATATAATAATTTCCTTTTTTATTACATGACCTACCAACACACTGTCAATCTGTTTTTCTGCTACACAGTAACAAAGAGAAGGGAGAGGAAAACCCACCCTTTCTTATGGCTTTTCTCGCACAATACCTGAAAGCAGTGATGGAAAAGGGAGCCCTTTTTATTAAGCGCTGTTTCCCAGTGGTGAGATTCGTTTGCTTCATTTCTGCACATAAAAGCAAAGACATCAGATCAGCCACAGAAGCATGCTAGCTGTGGAGCTCAGGAGGCAGAGGCTACAGGACACTAGAGTCGAGGTGCTCTGTGAAGGGAGGAGCACAGTGTGCAGGGCCCTGGCCAGTAGCCAGAGCTCACGTGAAGGGCGTTAGTGTCACACAGAGCTCAGCGTGCAGGGTCTGCTCACTTCTGAATCACACTGAGGTCACCGACATGAGGACATGAGCGTTTTAGCTTAGGAGGGTTAACAGTACTAGAAAGAGAGAGAACATACACTCAATCTTCTGTATTCAGTAGAAAAAAAAATTTTAATTTCTCCAAAAAATGTGGGAGGGATTGAAAAAGATATAAGACCATTATAAAACCTGCAAAACTCACAGAATTTAAAAAATGTGTATATTCATGCTTTCTCTTTAAACTGTATACCTAAATCAAAAGAACAAAACCAGGCAAGACCCAACACACATTCACAAAAACAAAATCTGGTGATAAAAGACCATCAACTCCAGGCCCATTCCGCACTTCTACCCAAGCTCACCTGGGGCAATACTCAGGTCTCTTTGCTCCCACAAGGTTACGTGTCCTGGGTTACCAGGAACCTCCACCTGCCACTGCCCCACTCTGAAGCAAAGCGGCTCGCTGCCCGAGGCCAGTGCTAGTGTCAAGTGCATTCTGCACTCTCCTTGACCTGGCACGTGTGGGCACGGCCCTCTCGGCGCATGGCACACCACCTGCGGTGCCATCTTCTTAAGCCCCTGCCATGTGAGTTTTCTTGGCACAGTGAAAACCTGAGCTGGCTAATGGCAGAAGGGCTGGGGCTACAAACCTTGGAGACAGTACATGTTGAATGCCAATAATTACATTTCTAACACAGTACCATTCTATAGAGTTGGAGAACTTGAATTGTTAGTGTCACAGTATTAATGCTGTATTAGTGTGAGTATTAGTTATTACAGACTCCTATTCTATAATAAAGATTTTTTTTTTAGTACTGGGATTCAAACTCAGTGCCTCATGCTTGCCAGGCAGGTGCTGTGCTGCTGAGCTTTACCCACAGTTAAAATCATGTTTTCTAACAGAAAGCTTCCAAAAGTAGTGTACTAGTGACTATTCTTAGAGAAACATGTGGCTCACTAAATTATTACCGAACACCTTCACAAACCTCTTCCTCCTCATGAAGCCAGAAGCCTGGGTACATCATTCTGCTTCAGGAACAGCTCCTGTACACAAGCTGAGAAAGGTCTCTCAACCGGCCTAGACTGCCGCAGAAGGACAAGTCAGGATCCCCTCACAGGTAGCCTGTTTAGGGCCTAAAGTCAGTAAGAGGCAGTCAGGACTAGTAAGGCTCCAATTATTATTCTTGACAATAATTTTTTTAGAAAGCAAGAACAGCTCCAGCAGGACAGCCACTACAAGATGCTCGGGTCCACCAACTTCTTCCTGGCTGAGCCCTCACCAGCTCTGACCAAGGCCCATCCACGGAGTTTGCTAAGGTGCCTCTCCCCACCATAACACACTACGGCTCAGCTCAGAAAGACACAACTCACAGAACTGGGCAACTGGGAAAGGAGAGCCAGAGGACTACACGATGTACGACAAAATACACATTCATGAAGAAAGTCTCCCTGACTACATCTGATTTGCCCTCTGGCTAATAGGTTAACAGGTGCTTGTTACTAAAAATCTGTGGGGGTGAATCCAACAGGCTTCTTGTGGGATAACTAAATACACACCATGTACGGGGGCAAAGCCCAAAACGGGGCTAATTTCCAGATTATCTGGCTAATCTATTGGAGCCAATTATCAGAAATCGGAAGAAGGAACTGGGTGTGATGGTGCATACCTATAATCCCAGCACTCCTGGAGGCTGAGGCTGGAGGATCAATAGTATAAACCTAGCCTGGGCAATTTAGCGAAACCCTGTCTCAAAGAAAAAGACAAGTAATGTAGCTCAGTGCAGAGGACACGTTCAATCCCAATACTGTAATACAGAACAATCCAATTTACTGGCAAAAACATCAGGAGAAAGCTCACTAGGCTACACTTGGGTCTTGAAACTATTATCAGTTACCTATCAACATTATCACTTAACATCTATTTTCACTTTTGTGTAAAAAGATTCCTATTTCAAATCTATTTTCAGAATGATGAGATGATGAATAAAACAGAATTACAAGCAAGATATGGTGGTAGGAACCTATAATCCCAGCTACTTGGGAGGCTCAGGCAGGAGGATTCCACGTTTGAGGCCAACATGGGCAACTTAGTGAGCCCCTGTCTCTTTCACACACACACACAAAGCTATAAAGCATTTTGTGTTTCTTAAAGATAAGCATTACACAAGCTCAAAATATGATGCTCTCCACATACATCAATACATAAGCATATAAGCATGCCTTTATAAAAGATAATGTTGCTCAAAATTTCAAAATTTGAATTTTTATAAAGCTATTTTTGTGTGAAACAGAAAGGATTTACTTCACTGTTTGCAAACATATTGACTAATCCTGGCCTTCAGAGCTGCACCCCGTCCCCTATCAGTATACTCAAAGCATACAACTATTAGGGAGAAACATACCTGCGAAGTCTATCTTGTAGCTGAATTTGGAAGTGGTAAAAGCAATGGAGCCATAAGGGTTTGTTCTGAAGCTTTTCTCGATATCTTCACTGCTGAGCGAACACTGGACATTGGCATCCGGCTTTAAGACAGACCAGAGAATTTCGTTTACTAGCTGCTCTTGTGAGTGAGGGGCCACACAAGTGGGCTGGAGGGTGAGGAATGTGACTAGCGCCTGCTCTAGTGCCCAACACACACAAGGTTGGACAAGGCAGCACAATGGAAGCAGTCTAAAGATTTCCACAGAGAACAACTGCTCTCAGCTGGCTCCCTCAACACTGCTCATAGTGCCTTTTTACAGATTGTTACAATTTTTACAAATTATTCCAATACTTATAGTAAGTGGATAGAATTAAATCTTCAATACCTTGCTACAGTCAAAAAAAAAAAAAAGATACAGGTTTTTGAGTATGGGTTAAAATCTCAGCTTAACTCCCTCTGTGACCTTGGACAAGTTAACTTTTCTGAGTTTTACTTTCTTCAACAGTGTTACCATCTGGCAGAGTTTGAGAATGAGAGAGAAAACATGTGCCTGATATCTACCATAACACTTGGAATTCAGAAGGTGCTTGACAAGACCTGCTGCTTCCTAACTCTCTCTCTTCCACTATGGTAAACGGACTTGGCTCAAGTAACAGTGGCCCTCAGCACACAGTGAACACACACTGTCTCCTCTAAATAAGGTGCTGTGCAATCTGGGGGGAACGCGAGAGAACTGGAAGAACAGCTAACTTTTCTTTTAGCTAAACTGTTTATCTCCTCAGGTTTTAATTTAAATCCCGTGTTCACACGCACTCTATTCCTCAGCAAGATGACACTACATGAGTTAAACCCCTTCTACTCCATGCAGGGGAGGGTACCTGGAACATGTGCCACTTCCCACATTCTGCAAGGTAGAACCAGCCCCACTGCGTGTCTGATGTGTCCATGTCGTCCATTCCACGCTCTGTGGTTTTGGATATGAATTCTTCTGTTTTGTGAAACATCTCCTGAAAAATCCAGAAAAGGGGAGGAAGAAATGATTTTCTTAATAACTAATGTGTTTTCATGGATCATTATACTTCTTTATAGAACTCCATTCCGATGTCTGTCCCACGGTGACACTTTAAAAATAGCATTCTACCTTGTATGTGGGCTCTGAAGATAAACATTTTAAAATGTTGAATATAATTGCTTAACAAATCAGGCAAATAATAATCGCTTTAGGTAGTACATGTCAGAGCCCACAGGGCGCTTTTTGTAAGCTGCATAAATAGCCATAAGCAGTTCAGGTTTTCAGTATAGCCCAAGAATTTTTTATCCTAAGTTCACATATTCATTCAAAATAATCTAAGCCATCACTGCTACTTAAGATCAAATGCATCTGATTTTTTTTTTAAATAGTCATTATTTCACTTAATGGCAAAAACAGATGTTTTTAAGGTATGGTATTGGGTACAAAAGAAGGCTATAACACTTAGAGATAGTAAGATACAATTGTAATGAAAACGTACTGATACTTACCGTATGAATATATCGTCCATGTACACAGGTACGTGTATACACGATGAGGATGTGAGGTTTGTACTGTGTGAGTATTTGCTTATGCCTAACAGCATCCTATCCAAAGAAGGTGCTCAGTATGAAGAAGGAAGGTGACGCAGGTTATAAGTGGGCAAGGGAAGCCAAGACTCAAGCTCAGGTCGTTGGGATTCAGGGTCTGTGTTCCTAACCGCCCTGTCACACTGCCCATACCTAGCAATGATTCTGTAATGCTACCTTGTAATGTTAATTTGTAATACTAACTAATAAGCATATGTACACATTACCACTGAGAGGTCGTAAATATTCTTGGGTGGATATTGTGACAATGAAGTCAATAGAAAGGAGACAGAAAGACACAGCCACAGAAGATTAAACTTTATCTGGAATCAGGTTTCCTGCTGTCATTAAGGGTTTTTAAATTATTGATCTAACTTTTCACAGCTAATATACAAAAATATTCTCTTGTTGGGGGAGAGGACATTCAGGATAAAGCTAAGTACTTCTTTGACCACTGACCATCCTTTCTTCACCTGGCACCTTCTCCACTTCCTTCTCCAAGGCTACCAATACTACCGATGTACTAGGCACCTCTCAGAGCTCTCTGTAATTACGCGTGCACGCGCGCACACACACACACACACACACACACACACACACACGATTATTGGTAATTTGTTAAAGATCAGATTTCATATATCTTTGATTTTTTAAACAACACATACCACCACGTAAGTTGAAGGGTGTTTGGTTCTAATTTTCTTACATGAACCGTCCTCTGTTTCCAGAACAACATAACCCAGGTAAGTTTCAGCCACTTTGTCTGGACTGCAGAGCACGGTTTCTCCCACACAAAGTGGAAGAGGAAAGGTACCTCTCTCCTTAGGTGGCTGTCAGAGCAGTAATGAGATATGCAGTAAACACCAAGTACAGTACCTGAGCTCAGTGAAGGGGGCTTGGTATCTTTGACTTTTTCTTCATATTCTGAAACTCTCTCCAAGGAATGATTTACAACTGCTTCCTGGTTTTCATTCCTTCAGGTTTTAAGGTGGATTAGCTGCTAAGAAATGAAAAACAGAAAACCCTAGGATCAAGAGCTTCAGGTTCAGAATCCCCTATTTATCATATCTATATTAACCAAAAAAATAAATATAATGACTTGACATGTAAGCGTAACTGTCCAGTTAACTATTCAAAATAACTGCTTGTTCCTTTTATTATTGTTTACATCATTGCACACTTCACTGTGAAAGAGAAAGAAGTCCAGACTGACATAGATTTAGTTTTTCTTCTATAAATGACCAGAAAAATTTGGAAAGATGAGCTAGAAACTATTAGTTAAGATAAATGTTTGGCTTAAAGAGTCTGCTTCCGTGGAATGTAAAATAGAAAAGCACCCTTTAGATGGTGCACAATGCTGGATGTGTGTTCCGCTGTGACCGACAGTCTCACAGCAGATCAGGTCACAAGTGGGTATGTCTAAACAAGCCTGCAAGGTGACATGTGCCACAGTCCCAGCTACTCACAAAGCTGAGCTGAGGACTGTTTGAGTCCAGGAGTTTGAGATCAGTCTGGGGCAAGACTCTATCAAAAGAAAGAAAAAAAAAGGAGAGAGAGATAAGAGAAAGAGGGGAAGGAAGGACAGAAGGAAGAAAGGAGGAAAAGGAGAGAGATAGGAGGAGGGAGGGAGGGAAGGAAAGAGAGACAGAGAGAGAGAGAGAGAGAGAGAGAGAGAGAGAGAGAGAGAGAGAGGGAGAGAAAATTAACAAAATCCTTTCAGAACTCCACGTCATAAATAGCTACAACTGGCTAGGCCATACCTATCTTGTTTTTATCCCCATTTTAAAGAGGGTAGAACTACAAACAGGTACTACCATTGTGAAAATTTCTGAAGTACTTTAATAAAATAATTTGTCAGTTTATACTGTTTTTCTCTCCACAACTCAAAGCATAAGAGAGAAGTCATTACTTTCCAGTTAGTTAGGGAAACAACAAAGCACAGAATAATGCAACCATTTTGTCTAGAATCACAGCGTTAATGGTGCAGAGATCACAAAAACACCCCAGGCCTCTTGAGCCTGTTCTTCCCTAAGTTACCAGACCCCCTGGCCTCATTTCACAGGCGGATAGTTATTCCCACCTCTCTGTAGCCAAATCTTAATTATTTAGCTTCACAGATGTTCTGGCTTTCTTTCAAAACATGTATAAGATAAAGCCTTAAAATTTTCCACAGTAAGTTTTCTCTCCAAAGAATACTTTGAATAATTAGCCTGAATGAAAACTCAGGTTTAAATGGATAAACTGAAGATGCTGTAACCATAGTAATAGTAGTTCTAGTCAGAACACATGCATGGGTAATAAAAGAACGTGCAAGTTATCAGTCATAGAGCAGGCATTGAATAAATGTTAGATGAATGAATCAGTTCAGTCACAAGATCATATTCTGCCTGTTTTTCCTGTTTTTAATTGGAAGATAATGACTTTCTGCACCAGCCATAAAGGAAAAAAAGCTAGCCTGAAGTGGTGAAGCATTTTGTAAATTTTCAAATACAATGGGTATGCTGGTAGAATCTGTCTCTCCTGCTTTCTCTTCTAAGGAGAATCCCGTCACAGAATCTGGAATAGTCAATGTGGATCACTGAATTGAAACTGAGTTTAGAGTAAAAATCCTGGTCTATATATGAAAATAATGCTGCTTTTCAGACTGACTACAAGTTTTCTGTAAGGCTCTTATAACCCATACCTTCATTCCTAATGACTCTGAACCATTTGTCATTCTGCCTGGATTAGGTTCTTGTAGTTTTCCACTAACTTTAATAACAGGGTATGGTAACACTAACAGGTACCCTAAGGGATCTCCTGCACTCCAAGTATGTTCTTCCTTTCCTCCACTGTGGGGCAGCAGTCCGATTTCCCCTTGATAGTCTGAGTCAGTCACCCCTTACACACTGTGACTTCCTTTTTGGCTTGTTCACTAAGAGGCATGAGGAGACCATATTGATCAGGGGGAGTCTTTGCTTCCAATTCAATGATATCATTGTTGCGCTTCCTGGTACAAGCCTTCCCCCTTCTGGTGAAGACTTCTAGGCCAGCAGAACATAAGGTTGCAGGGACAGGAAGCAAAAATTTTGCTAATGGATCACTAGGGATAATGGTGAGTAGTGCCATTCCTACTGCCAACCCTTGATTCCTGGACCTATGAATCCTGGCAATGGGAGACACAGAACCATACAGTGGACAATGATTCAAAGCATATACAGCCTTTTGAAGAACCTTGCCCCAGCCCTGCAAGCTACCGCCACCTAGCTGTAACTGTGGTGCTACAAGTGTGTCTTCAAAAGACCATTCCACCTTTTGATCAGTCTAGTCACTTCTAGATGGTGAGGAATACTGTAAGACCAGTGAATTCCATGAGCATAAGCCCATTGCCTCATTTCTTTAGCTGTAAAATGTGTTCCTTGGTCTGAGTCAATGTTATACGGGATTCCAAGATGGTGGATAAGGCATTCTGTGAGTCCACGGATGGTAGTTTTAGCAGAAGCATCACATATAGAGAAGGCAAATCCATATCTGGGATATGTGCCTATGCCAGTGAGGACAAACTGTAGCCCCTTTCATGGTGGAAGTGGTCCAGTATAATCAACCTGCCTGCCACCAGGTCACAAGTTGATCATTCCAGGGGAATGGTGCTATCCTGGGGAGGCAGTATTGGTCTCTGCTGCTAGCATGTAGGGCATTCAGTAGTGGCTGTAGCCAGATCAGCCTTGCTGAGTGGAAGTCCTTTGCTGAGTCCATGCATAACCTCCATCCTTGCCACCATGGCCACTCTGTTCATGAGCCTATTGGACAATGACAGGGGTGGCTGAAAAAAGAGGTTGGCCACTATCCAAAGATGAGTTATTTTATCCACTTGATTGTTAAAGTCCTCTTCCGCTGAGGTCTCCTTTTGCTGAGTGTTCACATAGGAAACAAATATTTTTACATCCTTTGCCCATATGGACAGGTCTATCCACATACTTCTTCCCCAAATATTTTTGTCACCAACTTCCCAGTCATACTCCTTCCAAGTTCCCAACCATTCAGCCAGACCACTGGCTACAGCCCATGAATCAGTATTCAGTCACACATCTGGCCATTTCTTTTTCCAGGCAAAAATGTACTACCAGGTACACTCTGAAGTTCTGCCCACTGTTATGATTTCCCTTCACCACTGTCCCTTAGACATGTCCTGGGAAGGGGCTGTCATGCTGCAGCTGTCCACTTGTGGGTAGTGCCTGCATATTATGTAGATCTATCCATAAACTAGGCCCTAGCCTTCTCTTCCTCTGACAGATGATCATATGCTACACCCCATGAGCCCACAGGTGCATGCTGGGAAGCAGAAGGCAATATAGCAGGCATAGGAGCCATAGGAATATGGGCAACTTCCTGATGTAATTTACTTGTAACCTCTGGAACTGCTTTGGCTCAATCACACATACAACATTTCCATTTAATGACAGATTGTTGCTGTGCACATCCAACCTTATGACTCAGTAGATCACGATACCCAGGTCATGACAGATAACTCATGTCACATAGTGACCTGGTGTTCCAGTGTCAGGCATTCAGTTTCCACTAAGGCCCAATATCAGGCCAAGAGCTGTTTTTCAAAGGGAGAATAGTCATCTGCGGATGATGGCGGAGCCTTCTAAAGGTCTCCATTGCAATTCACCCCTGGGAGCCTTCAAGAGACTCTAAACAGCATCTCTAGCTGCCACTGCCACTTGAAGTACCATTGGATCTGCTGGATCATATGGCCCCATGGCCAGAGCAGGCTGCCCAGCAGCCTGGACCTGTCACAAAGCTTTTCCTTGTTCTGGGCCCCACTCAAAACTAGCAGCTTTCTGGATCACTTGGTACATGGGCCAGAGTAAGACACCTAAGTAAGGAATGAGTTGCCTCCCAAATCCAAATAGGCCCAGTAGCATTGTATCTCTTTTGGTTGTAGGGGGAGTCAGAAGCAATAACTTACCTATTACCTTGAAGGGATATCTCTACATGCCCCACACCACTGGACTCTTAGAAATTTCAGTAAGTACAAGGACCTTGAATTTTCATTCGATTTATTTCCTATCCTCTGGCTTGCAAATGCTTTACTAACAAATCCACAGTGGCTACTTTCTCCTGCTCATTTTGCCCAATCAACATAACATCATCAATGTAATGGACCAGTGTGATACCTTCTGGGAGAGAAAGGTGCTCAAGATCCCCGAGAACTAAATCATCGCACAGGGCTGGAGAGAGAATATAATCCTGAGGTAGGATGATGAAGGTGTACTGCTAGCATTGTCAGCTAAAAGCAAATTGTTTCTGATGGTCCTTATGTAGGTATGGAAAAGAAGGCATGTGCCAAATCAACAGCTGCATACTAACTACCAAGAGAAGTGTTAATTTGCTCAAGCAAGGTACCACAGCTATAATTGAAGTCACCACTTGATTTAGTTTTTGATAATCCATTGTCATTCTCCAAGACCCATCCATCTTCTGCACAGGCCAAATGGGAACATTAAAAGGGGATGTGGTGGGGACCACCACCCATGCAACCCTCAAGTGCTAGATGGTGGCACTAATCTCTGCAATCCCTCCAGGAATGTGATACTGCTTCTGGTTTACTATTTTACCAGGTAACAGCAACTTCAATGGCTTCTATTTGGCCTTCCCAACCATAAAACCCTCACACTACAGCTTAGGGAGCCAATGTGAGGATTCTGCCAAGTACTAATATATATATCCTAATAATGCATTCTAGAACTGGGAAAATGACTACAGGATGGATTCGAGGACCTACTGGACTGAGTGTGAGTTGGACTTTTGCTAAAATCCCATTGATCACCTGATGCACATCAGCCCCTACTCACACTGGAGGCCACAGTGACACTGGAATCAGTGTTAGTTCAGAGCCAGTGTCCAGTTGTCCCTGAAATGTCTGATCATTTCTCTTTCCCAAAGTACAGCCACTTGGGCAAAAGGCTTAGGTCTCTCTGGGAAGGAGAGGAAAAAGACTATATAAACTTTTGG